CCACACAGCTCCACGCTCTGTCACCTGAGCTCCCCCTCCTTCTGGCTCTCCCGCATCTGCGTGTCTCCCCTCACTGACCACACAGCTCCATGCTCTGCTCAGTAACTCAAGTCCCTAGTTACAGATGCAGGAACAGTAGATTCCATCACACCTGCACTGTCAGCTCAATGTGTAGGCCCCAGAAGAAACTGGGTTCTTCTGGGGAGGGACATGTGCTTTCTCATCTCTCCTCAGGCAATGCCAGGGCACTCTACAGGCAAGGAGGCCCTGGAGTAAGGCTGAGGAGGCAGGGGAGAGCAAGGCCACAGGGAGAAACCCCTAACCTCACTTGCAGCAACCAGGTCTGACTATGTCTCTTCTGTAATTTCAGTGCGAGCACCGACCAACCCTATGTGTCAAAAAAGTCTACACTTACTTTGTTGAACTGCCACCCAGAAAATGTGATCATTAACAAGCCGATGTGCATCCTCCTAGGCCCTGTCAGTGTGTGCATGCACACGCACATAGAAGACGCTGGAGCTGCTGAACGACACGCATGAAGTGAGCACCGTGGTCCACAGGGGTCCACAGGTCAGCATCTCGCGTTTGCACTTAACATTGTACTGGGAACGTTTTGCTGTGCTTCCAAAACTTCTTCCGAGGTGTCACTGTTAGTGACTTCTCGTGCTTCACGTGGAAGCCACAGAGCGGCTGTAGCTTAAGATTCTGCTGAGTCATGTGGTGCACGGATGAGTCTTTACTTGCCCTGTACTAGGGGACATTTACCATGTCCCTGACTGCGGGTTGTTAGCAACGTTTCTACAGCGAAAGCTGTGCACAGAGGTCTTGAATTGGTATGCTACTGCTGTTGTTTCAGAAAGCATACTTGACAGATGGTTTCAAGGTAAGAGTGTACACTCACTTTCAGGGTCGTCCTGTCAAGCTGCCCCCCAGAAGGCTCTGGTGATTCGCACCCCACCAAGCGTGCCTGTCTCGCTGTTTCATGTGGCGTCAGAGCATCCTTAGCTTCCTTGGTAAGTGAACAATGGACATGCAACTTAATTTTCATGTCCTTAAATGAGAAATGAGTCTGCAGGGCTTCCATGCTTTTGCTCTGTGGCTGTCTCCTGAAGGAGCCAGCACCACCTCACACTGAGAGCAAACCACCAGTTCTTATTCTGAGACACGTGGCTTACTGCGTTTACCTAATAACATGGCTCCGTACTCCTTACCTAGCTATGGTAAAAAAAGAAAGCAAAGGATGAACTGAAGGCTTTTTAATAGTCCAAACAGACTAAGACAGTCTTCCCCTTTTATTTTAAGGGTCATGTTAGGCTATCACTGAATTCATATAGCTCTCAGCGATGAGGGTCCTGAAACACAGGTGCAAACATCGACGCGGTCAACTTGTCAATGACAGAGGAAACAGCGCACCCCTCACCTGCCGCTGCTCGCTGCTGGCATTCTCGTCGATCCTTACGTAGGTGAGATAGTGGAAGTTCAGGAACATCTCTAAAATGTCCAACATGAGAACCATCTGTGATAAGATCAGCACGCGGCGTCCTTCCGACTTCAACTTCTGAAGTAAGATGGCCAAAGCTTCTAACTTTCCTACAAAAGGGAAAACATTAAGATGTCTCACGGTCCAAGGCCGATGTCTCACGGTCCAAGGCCGATAAACTTCCCACAGCACAGCATGCAGGTGGCCAGCTCTCCTGCGTACCTGAGTCGAACTGCACCAGTCTGAGCTCGGGGAACTGCAGCAGGCGCAGGGCTGTGGCTTGATGCAGCTGCTGGAAGTACGGCGCCATGTGCTCTTGGAGGCAGTGCCTGAAAACCTTCATCCTGTGGCTGTACAAGGAGGGCGGCCTCGCCACCCGCAAGGTCGGGGGTGCTGCGACCACGGGGGGAATCACACACGCCACCCTGGAGGAAGACAACGGCTCGGTCACCACGCGGCACCTGCTGGGCCTCTGACAGGCAGTGGCCTGTTCTGTTTACAGTGACACACACAGTCACTGTAGGAAGGTCCCGCAGAAGCAGCAGCGGGAGCCTCGCCTGCATCACCATGGTGACGTGGTGCCTGGCCTGCGTGTCCTTCACCAACAGCAGCCATGGGGCGGGGACCCACAGGATGGACCCTGACTGGCCCTGGCCAAGTAGGGCATCTCACACCACTCCACATGGCAACTAAACCCATCAGGAGAGGCGTTCCCCGACTGCAGGGGCTGGTTCCCAGGTGGCACACTCCACCTACACCTGTCTCTCGCAGGAGTCTGGGGACACACGCACCATCTCCTAGCTGGTCCAGGGATGAACGCCAGAGCGGCTCCAGCCACAGTCCCACAAGGGAAGCCAGAGTCAGGAAGCTGGGCCCTGCCAAGCCCTCCACCCACCCGCCTGGAGCTCACCCGCCCACCTCCAGACATCACCTGCGCCAGCCAATCTCTTCCTGTAGGAGTGAGCTGGTTAGGTTTTCCTCTGGCTTACTACCAACTGTATTCACACTAAAAAGTCATCTGCCATATGAGAGGAGGAAGAAGGAAGGGATGACAAACGAGAGCTACCTGAGCTTACGTAAGAGGTCGCTAAGCTAGGGTGGACAGCTGGGAGCTGGAGGCTGTCCCTGTCTCACTTGGCCCACGACCTCGGTTTCTGGCCTCAGGGACATGAAAGAGACCCACCCTGTGGGCTGAGCCGAGCACAGGACCCATGGGGCTCCCCCTATAAACATGGAATGAGCGTGACAACTGCCTCTCGACAATGAAGTGGAAAGAGAAGAAAACATGGTCTGAAGCTGAACCTAGAAATCCTGCTGAAGCAGTGAAAGAAACCGCCAATACGCATGATGTTCGCGAACAGGAGACAGAAAGCATGCGCGTGCCTCGGCATCAGTGACAAACAGCGCGTTTGAGCTGTTGTTTTCTGTTTTAAAACGTGTTTCTTAGTTTAACTCGTACACACGCGTTACTCATCCAATTAAATGCTTCACGTGGCTACTTCAAAAATGTTTTTAAAAGAACAAGATGCAACATAATTAAGGGCATTTATACGAAGCCGACAGCCAACATCATCCTAAACGGAGAGAGTCTGAAAGCATTCCCCTGAGAACGGGAACCAGACAAGGATGCCCTTTATCACCACTCTTATTCAACATGGTGCTGGAGGTCCTAACCAGAGCAATTGGGCTAGAAAAAGAAATAAAGGGCATCCCAACTGGTAGGGAAGAAGTCAGAGTATCTCTGTTTGCAGATGATATGATCTTATACACAGAAAACCCCAAACAAAACTACTGGAACTAACAGAAAATTTCAGCAAAGTTTCAAGATACAAGATAAACATACAAAAATCAGCTGGATTCCTTTACATCAACAAAGAGAACCTCGAAGAGGAAATCACCAAATCAATACCATTTACAATAGCCCCCAAGAAGATAAAATACTTATAAATCTAACCAGAGACGTAAAAGACCTATACAATGAAAACTACAAGACCCTACTGCAAGAAACCAAAAGAGACCTGCATAAGTGGAAAAACATCTTGCTCATAGACAGGAAGACTCAACATTGTGAAAATGTCAATTCTACCCAAAGCAATCTACAGATACAATGCAATCCCAATCCAAATTCCAACGGCATTTTTTTTAACGAGATGGAGAAACAAGTCACCAACTTCATATGAAAAGGGAAGAGGCCCTGGATAAGTAAAGCATTACTCAAGAAGAAGAACAAAGTGGGAGGCCTCACACTACCTGATTTTAGAACCTATTATACCACCATGATAGTCAAAACAGCCTGGTACTGGTACAACAACAGATACATAGACCAGTGGAACAGAATTGACAATCCAGACATAAATTCACCCACCACTGAGCAGCTGATATTTGACAAAGGCCCAAAGTCCATTAACTGGGGACAAGAGAGCCTCTTTAACAAATGGTGCTGGCATAACTGGATATCCATCTGCAAAAAAACTGAAACAAGACCCATACCTCACACCATGAACAAAAACTAACTTAAAATGGATCAAAGACTTAAATATAAAATTGAAAAAGATAAAGATAATGGAAGAAAAAATAGGGACAACGCTAGGAGCCCTAATACATGGCATAAACACAATACGAACCATAAGTAACAATGCCCAAGCACCAGAAGAGACACTAGATAACTGGGAGCTCCTAAAAATCAAACACTTATGCTTATCAAAAGACTTCACCAAGAGTCAAAAGACAAACCTACAGACGGGGAAAAAATTTTTGGCTACGACAAATCCAATCAGCGTCTAATCCCTAAAATTTTCAAGATACTGCAAAACCTCAACAACAAAAAGACAAATAACCCAATTAAAAAATGGGCAAAGGATATGAACAGGCACTTCGCCAAAGAAGATATTCAGGTGGCTAACAGACACATGAAGAAATGCTCACGATCATTAGCCATTAGAGAAATGCAGATCAAAATTACAATGAGATATCATCTCACCCCAACAAGGCTAGCATTAACCCAAAAAACACAAAACAATAAATACTGGAGAGGCTGTGGAAAGACTGGAATGTAAAATGGTACAACCACTTTGGAAATCGATTTGGCACTTCCTTAAAAAGCTGGAAATAGAAGTACCATACGATTCAGCTATCCCGCTCCTTGGAATATATCCGAGAGAAATAAGAGCCGTCACACAAACAGATATATGCACACCCATGTTCACTGCAACACTGTTATTACAATAGCAAAAGGATGGAAACAACCTAGATACCCATCAATGGATGAATGGATAAACAAATTATGGTATATCCACACAATGGAATACTATGCAACGATAAAGCCGTGAAACATAACATGGAGGAAGCTGGAGGGCATTACGCTGAGTGAATTTAATCAGTCAAAGAAGGACAAATATTGTATAAGACCACTATTACAAAAACTCAAGAAAAGGTTTAAACACAGAAGAAAACATTCTTTGATGGTTACGAGGGTGGGCAGAGATGGTAAGTGTTATTCACTAACTAGACAGTAGATAAGAATTATCTTAGGCGAAGGGAAGGACAGCACACAGTACAGGGGAAGTCAGCACAACTGGACTAAACCAGAGCTAAGAAGTTTCCTGAACACACTCCAACACTTCAAGGGACAGAATAGCAGGTGTGGGGGTCCAGGGACCATGCTTTCAGGGGACATCTAGGTCAACTGGCATAACAAAGCTTATTAAGAAAATGTTTTGCATCCTACTTTTGTGAGTGGCATCTGGGGTCTTAAAAGCTTGCAAGCGGCCATCTAAGATGCATTAACTGGTCCCAACCACCTGGAGTAAAGGAGAATGAAGAACACCAAAGACACAAGGAAAGTAGTAGCCCAAGAGACAGAAAGGGCCACATAAACCAAGACTTCATCAGCCTGAGACCACAAGAACTAGATGGTGCCCAGCTACCACCAATGACCGCCCTGACAGGGAACACAATAGAGAGTCCCTGATGGAGCAGGAGAAAGGTGGGGTGCAGAACTCAAATTCTAGTAAAAAGACCAGTCTTAATGGTCTGACTGAGACTGGACGAACCCTACCTAGAAAGCATGGCCCCCGGATTCTCTATCAGCCCAGAACTAAAACAACTCCTGAGGCCAACTCTTCAGACAAAGATTGGACTGGACTGTGGGACATAAAATGATACTCGTGAAGAGTGTGCTTCTTAGCTCAAGTAGATACATGGGACTAAACAGGCAGCTTCTGTTGGGAGGTGAAATGAGAAGGCAGAGAGGGTTAGGAGCTGGTTGAAGGGACATGGGAAATCCGGGGTGGAAAGGAGGAGTGTGCTGTCACAGTATAGGGAGAGCAATTAGGGTCACGTAACAATGTATGTATAAATTTTTGTATAAGAGACTAACCTGAAATGTAAACTTTTCACTTAAACTACAACAATAAAAAAATAAAATAATAAAAAAGGAACAATAAGGACAGAATCATCAACAATACAATTACCTGTTATCTGTACACAGAACTTGGCACAGGTGCCTAGTTTTGCAGCCAAGGAACGCCCAGAACCACCTGTGGCAGCCACCCTAGGGTGGGACAGGCACCCTGCCTGGGGAGCAGGCCAACCTGGGGGAGGAGGGCCTGGAGGCATCCCTTAAGGTGGGCACCAGGGAAAGTCATTCAAGCAGACCCCAACGCTGAACACACCAAGTGTTTTCAGAATAGACCTTTCAACTCAGGGAGACGCTTCTGGGGATAAGATGACGGTCCACAACACCATTACGGAAATCGATTATCAGGGGGCAATACAGTTAAGGGTGTCTCTACACAGGCCAACGTACCTGTCTATAACATCCTGCAGGGACTCCTGACGTTGGCTCAGTGTCAAAATCAGGTCACTTCCGCTACTTGAGGGCCGAGCACCCTTCCCGTGGCTGCTGGCGCAAGACCTGGGTCGAGGTGCACCACCCTGCATGGCCAGGGAGCAGGCCCCTAGAAGGTCTCGGCCATAGACAGGTGCTCGGGAGCAGCGCCGCGCGTTGACAAGGAAGAGCTGATCCAACCGCTCCTTCAGGAGTCTGGCCCTTTCCTCCTTTGTCAGAAACATTGATGAGAAAACGGTTATTTGAGAGACACCTTCCAAATTACCGTTTCCACAACTAATCCAGGGCCCCTGGTGTTTGGTGGCCTGTTGCAGAGTGCACACAGACACACGTGGTCCTTTACCTGCATGAAACACGGACACAGAGGGCACAGGAAAAGCCAGGGCTACCCCCTGCCAACGTGAGAAGTGTTTCCCAAGACACAGGCAAACCTTTCTAATGCCTAGAAGGACTTCTAGAGGAGTATAAAAAACCTGAAAGATCATAAACCCATTTCATTTCCTTTATTAGGAAATGTGTTTTTAAAATCAAACTCCTGTTAACTCAGAGAGAAAACGTGTTAGAGTTCTGGAAGTGTGGTGGTTAAGAGTTCGACTGCTAACCAAAAGGTCAGCAGTTTGAATCCACCAGCTGCTCCTTGGAAACCCTATGGGGCAGTTGTACTCTCTCCTACAGGATCACTATGAGTCAGAATCGACCCGTCAGGAACCGGTATAGTGTGGAGGGCACGACTTCCAGGAGCAGCGGTGCGTCCGGTGGTAAAAGCCAACGGCAAAGGGGCATCTAGTGGGTGGTACCTGGGTTGGAGCACCAAGCGGCGAGGCCGGTTTGGGGGCCATCCCAGGTTCTGCAGCCATGGGGTTAACTGCCACTCGACCTGGAACACCGACTGAAAACACAAAACGAAGAGTCAGAAAGGAGCCTCAACAATCCACGGGACTTGTCCACCACTGGCATGTCCCCTGAAACTACAGCCCTACGCCAGTTCAGGAAGGACACTGAACACGTCTTCAACACAGAAACAGACGGGAGGCTTCCTAACTCAGCCATGTATAGCTACAACTCGACGACCACCATATGCAAAAAAGGAAATCGATGCACAACATCCAAGAATTATGACATTAGAGACAGCAGTACATCACAGGAGCAAATTCACACGAGCAAGCAAGGCTTACTCTGAGAATAATCAGAACAGACCCATACGAGAAAGCCAGTGTCTTCAATTGTGCTGCCCGGGGCCTGCTCTCCAGCGCTTGCTATTGGGAACGCAGACGTTGTAACAAGCCACCACACAAGTACACAGAACTCCAGCTGTAAAAGGTGCCAAGAAAGGAAAGGCTGCCGTGAGAAGACTAAAGCCAGGTCCTCATCTAGACAGCCAGCAAGGGATAGTAGGTGGCACAGAGCACACGGCAGCCCGAGTGGACAGCACCCTAAGGGCCGAGAGAAAGCCAGGAGCCAGGGCAGGAGGGTGAGGGGCAGAGCAGGTGCACAGCCACACAGCATGGGGCCTGTGGTCTGAGGCGCTGGTGAAGGCAGAGAGCCCTGGCAAGCAGGCATGTAAACAATGTCACTCCATCTGTGCTGTTACAACACATTCTCCCTGTCTGGGAGGAGCAGAACAGGTGGAGGCCAGCTCTGGAGCCAGGAGAGGCGGACGGGCTGCTGCAGAGGGGGCAGTGGGCAGAGGGCATTAGACTCCTCAGTGGGATGGACTCTGGGAAAGCCTGCTGGGACAGCCCATCACCCAAGATCGGCTAAGGGAAAGCCAGGGCCTCTCCTACAAAAGCTGAAGCACGAAGAAATGCAAGGCTGCCCCCTCTGCGTGATAAGGAACTTTCTACGGTGACTTGTGAGCTAATGACTTCATGGCACAGTGACAAGACTCAGAGAAACGGTGTCTTCTCAGTGTGTTGAAAGGACACGAAGAGCAAGAGGAAATGCACGTGGCACTTGGCGCTTGGGAGGAAAGGCACAATAATCAGAGCCGTGCTGCCTGGTGAAGCTCGCAGATGAGAAAGCCCGTGGGGTTGCTGTCCTCGCAGTCAAACAGGGACCTCTAAAGCACTGCCCTTGTGCCTTCGTAAAGGACATGAGGACGAAAGTCAGTCTTGGGCAGGGACGGGCTCTGGCCACTCTGCTCACCGGTGGCCCTGTGCTGTCTGCACCCAGCAGGCTGTCAGCTCCAGCACAGTCCCTTCCCTCTCCAGAGTGCCTCCCACTGCGCCCTCCAGGGTGCAGGGGCTCCTGGCCCTCCTCAGAGGCAGAGTCCTGCTCCAGGTGCCTCCCCGAGGCTGTGAGGCCCTCATCACCTCTGCCTCTTCCCCTTGTCCCCCCGACCCGAGGTAGAAGCTGCTCCCTGCAGCTCCGTCTCCCCCTTTCAGTCCAAGCACCTCTTTAGCTGCTTCACTGCATGCAAGTCTGTCTTCCTCACTGACCTGACGAGTGCTCCCACCAGACAGACCTGCCCTGGCTGAGATGTTGCGTGCAAGGCTAAGCTCCTGGCCATGGAAACAAGGTGTGCTGGGCAGACAAAGGAGTCCCAGAGAAATGGGCCAGGTGAAGGTGTCAGGTGGCAAGTGAGAGCCTGTCACCAGGTTCCAGGCCCAGCTCCCCTGACTGAAGGGGTTGGGATGCTGCAAGAAAGGCTCAACCACGCTGCCCCAGGACAGCCAGAGTCCAGTGGGGCCAGACGGGGGCAGTGCAAGGTCAGTGCCCATCCTATGGGGACGGTGGTGCGCTGAGGGTGGCTTTCTGTATCTTTGAACCTGGATGAACTGAGGCGCCCTGGCTCAGGTGAACACGCAGAGGGCCCCTGAGGCTGACAGCGCACCTGAGGGACAGAGGCGCCCTGAGGTGAACACGCAGAGGGCACCTGAGGCCGACAGCGCGCCTGAGGGAGAGGCGCCCCGAC